CCGGCCCCACATTCAGGTGTCCGGAGGATGCTCCTCCACTTCCAGGGCAGGCAGGACACCTTTTGCTCCCATCGTAAGCTCACAGTCTCGTGACGGTGCTGGCGTCGGGGCGTGCATGCTGTTTTGCAGAGTGGGGGGGGGTCCTCCTGGGACCGTGGGGGTTCCCGCAGCACTAAAGGTTGCATTTGTAGGGTCTGCCACGCTCCTGGCCGGTGGCAGGTCTCTTGGAACTGGCTTTGGGGTGATGTGGGTGGTACCCCCCTGGATGCTGCTGGACCCCCATACACTGTCTGGTGTATGGGTGTCTTGTGGTGGCACATTACGCTGGATGCCAGGTGGAGGAGGGGGCCTGTGCCCTCCTGACAAGGCCCATGATGCCTCCTGCCACCGTGGAGGTTGGGCTTTGCAGGCAACTGGAGCTCGGGGGTCCACTGGGACCAGCCAGGTGGGATGCAGCAGTCAAGGGGATCTCACCCCTGGCAAGGAGCAGTGGGTGCTATCAGGTTATGAAGGGTGTTCAGTCTCCACGGAGTGTTACAACGAGGTCCCATGGCACGTTTCAAGCCTCTCACCCAGCCCTTGACCCCGGTTTTGCCAGCACCCATCCTGTCCCCGTGCTGAATGCCACCACCAGCATGGGCTGGATGTCCGCAGCAGGTTTGGGCCACATGCTCTTTGAAGCTGTCTGGAAGGGAAGGTGTTAGAGAGGACTCAGGTTTCATGTTTCCGCTGTTAATTGGGTTCATGTTTCCGTTGTTAATTGATCTCAGGCTTCCTGTGTTAATTGCTTTGGTTGTTAAGGGAGGCTGCTCCTCATGGTTTGGTGCTGCCTCGCAGTGAGAAACCTCTGGCTTTGTCCCAAGTGAGGGGTGAGATGCCTTGGTCCCAGCTTGGTGCCTACACATGGGGGTCTGATGGGACCCTGGAACGCCTGAGATGTCTGCGTGGGACTGGCAGACGCGATGCAGCAGCCCTAAGGGAAACCCAGAGCCGTCTGGTATGGCAGCTGGGGGCCAGGTGGGATAACCAGGAGTGCTGGGAACCCAAACCTCTCCTCAAGACATGGAGATTACCAAAACTCACCCAAAGGGGCTGAAAGGATGACTGGCTTGGTTGCTGGCTGTGTCCTCAGCTCCCATCCCTTCTGGAGACATCAAAGAGCCCAGGAGGGAGGCTGTAACATCTCAGTCACCTGCTGTATGGTCTGGTCTTCAGAGCGGGGGATGACCTGAACTCCCTGCTCACCCACACGTGCGGTGCTGGTACCTCCTGCATCTCCCTGGGAAAGGCTGTTTGCATTGTGGAAACAGTTTGTGCTGTCTGCTGTGCTGGAAGGTGGCCGTGTCATCCCCATTGAAACGCTCATCCCTGTAGGGTCATCTTTTGGGAAAAAAAATCCACGCCTTAAGGTGATGAGTGAACCATCTGTGCTACCTCGCTCCTGGTGGGCAGGGTGAGGAGTCATGAGGGTAACCTGGACCAGGACAGACTGGGTGAGACGGTGAGGAAATTTCTAGTGGAGCTGTGGAGTGCCGGGAGATGTGGCTGGGGAAGGTTGTGGTGCCTTCACCAGCTGGAGCTATCAGAAGCCAGAGGATAAAGTTGCTCTGGTTAACTTGGTCTCGTTGGATGTCCAAAAGGTTTTTGGCAAAAAAAAAATACTAAATATCCTTCATCAAAGATTTTTAAGGAAGGGAGGCTGCTGTGTGATAAGAAGGAAGGTCTTTGCGTAGATAGACAGCTAAGTTGTATGGGCCATTGTGGTTGTCTTGTCCCCGAAAGAGCTGGAATGAGCAGGGGTCTGGGTTGGCCCTTTACGAGGAATAACTCCGTAGGCTGAGCCTCTTCAGCTTGAGAAAGAGATGTTTTAGGGCTGCCATGATAGAAACCTGCAGAACCCCAAGTGTCAGTGCAGGTGGGCAGGGGTGGGCTGATTCTTCTCTCCTGATGCAAGAACTGGGGGGGCCTCAGAGGGAGATAGAGGGAGCTGGGTACTGCAAAAATCCACGAGGGGCTGGTTCTTCATGCAGTTTTGAGTCCTCACTGGAGGATACAGTGGGCTCAAGAGAGGGAGGAGAAGTCCATGGAAGACAACGCCCTGCAGGGTTGCTAAACCGAGAGAGATCACATCTAGCCTGGGGGGTACCTGAGCTGTGAATAACTGGAGAATGGGGATAAGCATCGGAGAACTTGGCCTCGTTCTCTTCTCGGTTGCAGTTACCTGGGACATGATGGGGATGTCATTGCTGTTTCTAAAAGAGCTGCAGCTCCTTCAGCCTGTTCACAGTCTTCCCTGCACAGCCCGTTGGCCCTTGAATGACTGTGAATTGCTTTCTCCTTCCGACACTGGTAGCTCCAATTCATCCTTTGCCTCTTGTCTAATGTCCCTTGCAGATCCTTATGCCATTGTCTCCTTCCTTCACCAAAGCCAGAAGACGGTGGTGATCAAGAACACCTTAAACCCCACCTGGGACCAGACACTCATCTTCTATGAGATAGAGATCTTTGGGGACCCCCAGAACGTGTCTGATTCCCCTCCCAACATCGTGGTGGAAATATATGACCATGACACCTACGTAAGTGTGTTGGCGTGAGTGGGACCTTCATGGTGTGAGTGTGCTGGGGTGGATGGGACAAACACCTGGCACCGTTCCTGCCCTCTGGAGTGTGATGCTGTAACAACTCTGGGTGGCTCAGACATTGAGCTGGGTGCTCAGAAGACAAAAATTCAGCAAACAGCACTGCTAGCGATGTCCTTGGTGGCCCTGCTCTAGTTACCAACGCTGCATCCGCATCGTGTTTTGCAGAGTGGCCAAATCAACCATATTTTCTTGTGGAAAAAGCTTGGGACGAGATTTAAAGCAGTCATGCAAGTAGGGGACCATAGACAGTTGTTTGCTCGGCTGCCCAAAGGTATCCAAAGTGCCTTGTAGTGATGGCGTCTGGGGGGCTGGTGAGAGAACCTGGGGTCCTTCCTCGAAAAAGTGGGCTGTAGCCTGTCACGAGAGCAGAAGGGGTTTCAGACTGCATGTAAGGGCAGTGCATAAGTGAAAAGCGCTTAGAATACATCTTGGGAATGTCCTGGGAACCTCTCAGGAGCCCTGCTGCCCTCCCTCCTCCAGAAGACACCAGCAGGAAGCCACAAAGGCAAGTGAAGATCCCATTGCAGACCAGTGAATGGGCTTTTTAACAGCTGCTGGTACGTGATGCCGCACTCAGAGCTCCTGCTCTGGAAATCGTCTGATACTGCAGGAATTTCACCCCTGTTGAAGCCAAAATGCATAAGAAAAAGGGCACTTCTAGCCCTGGTAGTTACAGGGAGGAGTTTGAAAACTTGAGTCTATATGGGCATCAAAGCCATCTTTTTATCAGAACTGGTCCCGTAACGGTTCCGACATTGAGCCTGATTTTTGAGGGACAGGGTCTCGGCTGGGATGTGGGTGCGTGGTGATGGACTGCCCCGGGAAGCAGGGTGGGAAGAAAGCTCCCCGTGCCTGTGATTGCCTTTCAGGGTGCGGATGAGTTCATGGGGCGCTGCATTTGCAAGCCCAGCCTGGTGTGCTCGCCGCGACTCTCCTGGCACCCCGTCATCAAGGCGAACAGGAACGTCGGGGAGCTGCTGGCTGCCTTCGAACTGATTCAGAGGGAGAAGGTGAGCTCCCTACCCGGACCTGATCCTGTCTCTAACTGGAACGCTACCTTCTTCCCTTGGAGTCGCTCCGCACCCAGCAGGATCCAACCTTTGCTCGGGGATGACTTATGTCCACCTGGGCTTAGCAGCTCCGCAGCCGCCTGTCACGGGGCCGGCTGCTCTGAGCAGCCCCAGCCATGATGCTCAGCGCTGGCCGCACCGTTGCGGCGCGGTGGGAAGCATTTAGCAGGGCCAACGGGAAGGGGCTCGGTGCCGGATTGAATCCTGGGCTGTCGGGAGGTACTGGCCAGCTGCGGTGCTGAGTTCAGAGCCTTGGCACCTTTGCAGCGTGGGAAGAGCCTGGTGCATTTGGCCCCAGATCTCTGCCCTTTGCTCAGAGTTAATTTCCGGAGAGGGTTTATGAGAGCCGAAGCGGGCGGTTACTCCGGCAGCAAGCTGCCACGCTCAGTTCAGGACATTTGTGTAACGAGCCAC